ATACAGAGTAGAAACTGTGTATTCTACTGAATACAGAGTGGAAACTGTGTATTCTACTGAATACAGAGTGGAAACTGTGTATTCTACTGAATACACAGTTTAGTCTGGCTCAGTGAATCTGCATTTTTACATATACAGCAGGGCAGAGGAATGGCACAATCTCAGCCCACCACAATCTCTACCTCTTGGGTTCGAAGGATTCCCTTGCCTCAGCCTCCCGAGCAGCTGGTATTACAGGCATGCACCACCACGCCTGGCTAATTTTTGTATTTTAGTAGAGTTGCGGTTTCTCCATGTTTGTCAGGCTGGTCTCAAACTCCCAACCTCAGGTGATCTGCCTGCCTTGGCTTCCCAAAGTGCTGGGATTACAGGCATAAGCCACCATGCCTGGCCAGGAAGCATATTTTGATTCTGATATTTTCAACTGTTTTTCAGGCAGAACTTGCTTTCCTTGAAGCATTAAATACTGCTTTGATATTTTATTACAGAAATAAAGCACAGATCCCTTTTTATCATTATATTCATTACTAGCTATACTGACACCTAAACTTAGAAACATTCCAGAGTCTGGGTTTCCACACTGCAGCTGCCCCAAACTTCATCAATCACCACCTTTGTGTTGGAGACAATGTGTTTATTTGGAGTGTTTCCCTAGGCGATTCTAATGCATTCATGACTCAGAACAACACTAGTCAAACTCTTTAATTTTCCAAAGCAAAATTTACCAAGGCCGTTAATGGTTGAATTATGTCTTCCCCCCAAAAAATGTTCAAGTACTAACCTCCAGTACCTGTAAATGTGACCTTATTTTTAAAATAGGGTCATTGCAAACAATCAAGATCAGGTGAGGTCAAGAGCATGAGCCGTAGTCCAATATTACATGTTCTTATGAAAAGAAGAAATTGCTGGGTGCAGTGGCTCATGCCTATAATCCCAGCACTTTGGGAGGCTAAGGTGGGCAGATCACCTGAGGTCAGGAGTTCAAGACCAACCTGACCAACATGGAGAAACCCTGTCTCTACCAGAAATACAAAATTAGCTGGGCATAGTGGCGCATGCCTGTAATCCCAGCTACTTGGGAGGCTGAGACAGGAGAATCACTTGAACCCAAGAAGCAGAGGCTGGGGTGAGCCGAGATCTCGCCATTGCACTCCAGTCTGGGTAAGAAAATTAAAACTCTGTCTCAAAAATAGTTTTTTAAAAAGGAGAAATTTGGACACAGGTATACATATAGGGAGAACCTCATGTGGAGATGAAGGCAGAGATTGGGGAGAACTGTCAGCAAACCGGCCGAAGCTGGGAGGAGGGCAAGAACCAGATTCTCCCTCCCACCCTCAGAAGGGATCAAGCCTGCCAACATCTTGGTCTGGGACTGCTACCTTCCAGGGCTGTAAGATAATCAATTCTTGTGACTTAAGCCACCACGTACATGGTGCTCAGTTATTATAGCAACCCCAGGAAACCGGCGTACAGGCAAAGGTAAAGGAAAAAAAAAAAAAAAAGTAATCGGTGACAGAGCTTGGACTAAAACACAAGTATCCTTCCTCCCAGCCATTCTGCCATGTTCTCATCCCCCTCAGACCAACCAGTAGCAGATGGTGAAAGCTAGACCGGAACTCTTCTCCCTGGACTGCTGGGGAGAAAACTGCTATGGAGTTTTAAGCAGACTGAACATCTATTGCGTCTTCCCTGTCCTAAAACAAAATGAGTAATTTGCTGCAATGCTCTTCAATGCCTGACAATGTATTAAGTTTTTTGGGGGGGTTATTTTTAGTTTTTAATTATTGTTGGCCGGGCACCGTGGCTCACGCCTGTAATCCCAGCACTTTGAGAGGCCGAGGCAGGAGGATCACCTAAGGTCAGGAGTTTGAGACCAGCCTGGCCAACATGGTGAAACCCTGTTTCTACTAAAAATATAAAAACTATCTGGGTGTGGTCGGCGCCTGTAATCCCAGCTTCTCGGGAGCCTGACGCAGGAGAATGGCTTGAACCCACATGCGGAGGTGGCAGCAAGTCATTACCACCGCACTGCACTCAGCCTGGGTGACAGAGCGAGACTCTGTCTCAAAATAAATAACTAAATTCTTACTAGCTTAAGGACTAGGTTAGAATGTTAGAGCCAGAAACGGGTTCCAAGGAAGAAAACAGGGAGAATGCAGGCTCCCCAGCCTATCAAATGAAAGCCAAGGTCTTGCCTCTATCCACAAACTTGTCACTTCTCAGAAAAAAGATTATCCAAATGTCCCTGCATGACCCCGTGGTGCTTTATTCTTCTGTGCCAGGGACTGGACATTTGAGAGATGAATGCCTCCCTGGAGAATCCAAGGTACGGCCACCTGGGCCACTGCTACCTGTATCCTTTGCCTCTCAGAGGTGACCTCAAATTCATCTCTTTCATGTTCATTTATGGGAGGCTGGTGGAAATGTCCTTGCAGGCACTACTAGTGAAGCTTCTGGGGGAGATAACTCTTACTGTCAGTTTCCTGCTTACAGCCTGATAATCCATCAGCAGGCCTGGCTCTTAGCCAAACTGTCATGAGGATAAGTCTGTCATCAACTGTCAAAACTCTCCTCCCCCAGCCAGACTCTACTCCCAGGGTGTATGTTCTCTTTCCTGGCTCCACACAAATCCGCCCTGTTAGGCTCAATGTCGGTCACCTACCATTCAATTTCCAATTTGCCCCCAGAAGTTACTTCTGCCAGGATGCACTCATTTTAAGTTTCTGATTGTATAAGGAAAAGTTTTTACCTGCCTAAGAAAAATTTCAGGCATCAATAAGCAAACTGAGAAAACATGGAGAGGGAATTAGGGAGGCCTAACTAGACCCCCTCAATGCCACTGAAGCACGTAACGTCAGATCATGGAGTGGTCAGCCAGGCAGCAGCCTGACGCACCAGGGAGCTAAACCATTATGGCAACCAGTTGGAAAGACAATGCTGTTTAATGTGAGTCTCCAGGCCCGTGGCTGGCAAACTCCCACAAACCTGAAAATAGGAAAAAGACTTCTGAAGGGCACTCAGTTCCCACTGCAAAGTGTACATGAAGATTGCCAAGGTGCCATCCCAAACTCGAACACTGGTGGTTACAATCTGCCCAAATTGTGAAGCCAACTGTTGCATGACGTTGTTGAAGGATACGCTATTCCCGGAGAACGAGTAATTAATTCTATTACATAAATTTTAGTTTTAGAAACAGGGTTGCTCAGGCTGAAGGGCAGTGGCGCCATCATAGCTCATTGTAACCTCCAGCTCCTGGGCTCAAGCCATCCTCCCACCTCAGCCTTCCACGTAATTGGGACTACAGTGTCTACCACTGCCCTCATTTTTTAAATTTTTGTTGTAATCTCCAACTCCTGGGCTCAAGCGATCCTCCTGCCTCAGCCTTCCAAGTAGCTGGGACTACAGGTGTGCACAACTGCCCTGGCTAATTTTTAAAATTTTTGTAGAGCCAAGGTCTTGCTATGTTGCCCAGGCTGGTCTCGAACTCCTGGGCTCAAGGAGTCCTTTCACCTCAACCTCCTAAAGTGCTGGGGTTACAGGTGTGATCCACTGTGCCTGGCCCTATTACATTAATCTTCAATATTTTACCTTCTCAGCATGTTTGCTGGTTCGGAAAACACATATACCTTTGTTTTGAACATCCAATTTGATGAAAAGTAAGTTTCTGTCTTCTAACTACATTTTTAATAAAGAACATTGAGGCCAGCAAATCATTAGCTTATCCAGAATCCCCATATTTCATCTTGGTCTCGCTACAGCTCACGCTTCCAGAGGTCCGCGCCTGCCCTCCAAACTGTTTTTGTTCCAAGAGAGGACCCTTCTTTAGCACCTGAAAGGTCATGAGGGACAGGCACAGGGCCACCCAATCTGGGGCAATAAGCGTTCATCATTCCTCCCCCACCTCCTCCAGTCGGGTTCCAGCCAGCCAATGCTGCTGCTTAGAGAAGGCGGCTCGGTTTAGTCATTGGCTAACGCAGAGGCTTCCCCAGTCCAAGCCAGCCCTCAGCTGGCAGCCCCACGAACTGCAGTTAGGCCTGGCACTGGAGTGGGGAGCGGACTTCTCTGCTGAGGCCATTTATTTACGGTCTTGTTTGTGGAGCTGGGTGGCCGGGGCTGCGCAGGCCGGCCCCGCCTCCTCGTGTTTACTCCTTCAGCCGTGTCCAGTTTCCTCACCTTCCTCTCCAGCGCTCAGCAAAGCCGGTCACCAGCGCGCACCACCCCGGGGCACTCCGCCTTTCAGGGCAACTAGTTTATCCTTCCCGGGCTGACCTCCCTTCCCCTAGCCCCAGGCTATTTCCAGTCGTCTCCACCTGTTCCTGAGGCTTTGAGTACCTCCGGGCAGAACCAGGGAAGCGCCCGAGGCCTCCCGTTCGCCCCCACCTGTCCCACCCCACAGCTCTCCGCTTCTCCAGGGCTAGGCTGGGACCGCGGGCTGTGTGTCCAGGACCGCCGCGTCCCCGAGCCCCACTGCCAGCAAGGCTGCCAAACTCCGAAAGTTAAACCCCGAACTCGTGCCCTGGCTTCTCCTGGTTTTGCAGACGCGTTCGCGAAGTTCCACCGCTGGACCCAACGCGACAGCAGCGGCAGTCCTCAGCGCTAGGAGACGCTGCCAGGAAGCACCGGCATCTGCAGTTGCCTTCCTCGTCCTCTCTTCCCCCTGCTCCAGTTTCCTGGTCTTGCCCTAAGCACCCTCGTACCTCCGTTCCTTCTACCCCAATCGGACACTGGATCTCTGCCCCTCTGCGGTCGACTTTGTGAACTTCCCCTCGGCCACCCAACCCGACCGACGCCTGGAGAATTTCACCGGCCGCCGCATCACCGCCCTTAAAGACACCTCGGGTCCTGGCAGGTGGGGGACGGCGGAACGGGGGCGCAGCGCCCCAGCCTCAAACACCAAAGCAGGCCGGTAACCCCCCGCCACCCGCTTCCACCCACCTGCCCCACGCCACCCGGAAAGAAAAAAAATCCCAGTCCCACTGCGACTTCCGAACGGCCCCCACCTCGGCGCGGCTCTTGAGGCTGCTCCGCTTAGGTCGGAGCAGGACATCCTTGAAGTCGAGCTTGAGGTCCGCGTCTATGCGGGGCATGGCGCGGCGGCTCCGGGCGGCGGTGGCGGTGGCGGCGGGGTGGCACGGCGGGCGCCGGGGCTGCTGTGCCGCGGCCGGGAGCTGGCGCGGGCCGGGCGCGCACGCCGCGCTCTTAAACCCGCCCGCCGACCCGCGGTCACGCTCCGCCCGCCCCGGGCGCCGCCTCCGCCCCGGGCAGGGGCTGCAAGGCCGGCTGGTTAAGGACGCACCGGCGGCTGAGTCTTTCCTCCTCTCCCCCGCCCCCGCCTCCCCCACCGGTGTACAGCACGTGGAGGTGACCGAATGGGGACGGGGGAGGGAAATGCGCACCGTCCTGTTTGTCCCCAACGTCCCGATGGGGAGGGGACTTAGCATGAGCCTGCCTTATCCAGGGGAAAAGGTCTCTCCCTGTGAGCTTTTACTTTTTTTTTTTTTTGAGACAGCCTCACTCTGTCGCCCAGGCTGGAGTGCAGTGGCGCTGTCGCCGCTCATCGCAGACTCGACCTCCTGGGCTCAAACGATTCTCCTTCCTCAGCATCCCGAGTACAGGCATACGCCTCCACACTCGGCTTATTTTTTAAAATATTTCCTGGAGGCGGGGGTTTCACCATGTTGCCCAGGCTAGTCTCGAACTTCAGACCTCAAGTGATCCGCCTGCCTGGGCCTCCCAAAGTGCTGGGATTACAGGTGTGAGCCGCCGCGCCCGGCTGCTTTCTCGTTTCTTAAAATTCAAGCCCGGTGTGCTCACCCAGTGCTGAGGGGCACGCCTCTCACTTGCCAAAGAACCAGAAACCCCAGGGAGTTTGGATAAAATTAAGGAGAAGAGCGTGGGCAATTAACTGTCTGGCTCTACTGGATTTGTTGAGGTCATGATTCCCTTTGGACTTTTTGTTGTTGGCGTTGTTAAGAGACAAGGTCTCACTGTCTGGATTTCAGGATTTTTGTTTAAGGAAAACAGAAGTAAGTCAAAGTAAATGTCCTCCCGAGATTTGAGGAGCCTGAGTCTCCCCTGAGGGTTACCAGTGATGTGAGTTCATTAATTCACTTGTTGACCCCACTAGGCCTTTATTATACACTCGGGATGTGCTGCAGGGCTTCATGCACTTTCATTCACTCTCAGAACAATCCAATGAAGAAAAAGCCATTTCACAGATAAGGTAAAACAGGGCTCCTATAAATGAAATAACTTGCCCAAAGCTGCAGAAAAATTAAATATAAATTTCTCAGTCCTTAATACTTGCTACAACTCTTCACTGAAGCTGCTTTTGTCCTGTGGCATCTCTTTGCCTGAGTTCAAAACCTGCCTCTACCACTTTCTAGCTAGGTGACCTTTGGGGAGTCAATTTCTCTAAACCTCAGTTTTCTCATAAAAGGGGTGGGGTGGGAGGGGGTTAACTCTATCTCCTCCCAGGTTTTTGTGAGAATTAAAGTGTGTGTGTTTAAGTACAATGTGTGTTCCATAGTGGTTGCTCAATGCATGCTAGTTACTGATTTGTAGTCACATGTTGTGTGCATTATGGTTTATATTCTCAAACTACAATACTAACTGCACAAAGGCAAGAATCATCCTTCATCCTCTTCCACTTCTCTGCAGCCTCCAACTGTCTTCTGTGAGCTGTCATATAAGGCTGACCATAAAAGATACATCACAGTATTCACTTTAACACAAATGTCTGAAGATGGTAAAGGTCTCAGCCCATCCCATATGCTCTCATTAGCTATACCCCACAGGAAGTTCATGAAGTTTCAGGGAAGGAAATGAAACTTATCAGAGAGAGAATGAAAGTAACCACAATTAGTCCGGCCCTTGAAATGTTCATGACCCTTGACAAATTCTTGGGAGCTGACCGGACGTGCTGCTTATTTGCAAAGTACTGAAAGGAAACCTAATTCTGATCTTTTAAAGATAAAATAGAAGTAAAATATAATTACAAGATGGTATGATTATTTTTAAATTATTCTCCCTAAAGGGAAGAGAAACTGACCTTGCTAAGCATCTGCCGGAGTGAAGTACACATGTGGGTGAGGCTTTATTCATTGTTTCATACAGGGTCGTAAAGGAGAAGCTTCTGTAGGTTGTCCTTGCTCTTTCCCTCTGGTCCTCCTTGTTTCTTGCCAGCCTCCTTCTATTAGAATAGACAAAGAAGTTCATTTTACACATTCCATTCCCTCTCCCTCTGGAACATTCTGTTATAATTGCCCTCTTCCCCAACACAAAATCATACTCCTGTTAGAGTCAGCCTGAGTCCCTGATTCTTCTGAAACTGGCTTTACAAAAATTATGACAGAAAAATCTGATATAGGAAAATGAAGACAGTGAAAGAAATCTGACTTAACTGACTCCAGCTTGCTTTTAACCTCTAAGGTGTCCTTGTTCAGTTCTGGGTATAGGCTGAGCTAACTATGGAAGGAATTGAGTTTCTGGTTTAACTTTGAAACAAAGATGAGAACAGCACCTTCCCAAAACAAACCCACTCCTTGCTTGGCAACCCCCCCACCTTTGTAAAACTAACAAAGTAGCCACAAGATTACAAATCATGCTCTGGCTTCATGTAGCCAGAGGCCACAAGATTCCTAACCTCCCCAGTTGCTTCTAGGAATAACATATTGTAAAACCTAAGATTGGTGTTAGAGATATGTTTCAGTCAGTCCCTGCATTCTGATTGACCAGCTGTCACCACCCTCACCAGTAAACTGGCTTAGCTAGCACAGTGATCCCACTCAGAAACGGAAGACAGCCAGAAAAATCCACTTTGACACCCTCTGATTTCATTCACCACCTGACCAATCAACATTCCCCACTCCCTGGCTCCTGCCCACCAAGGTATCCTTTAAAAAGCCTAGACTCTGAATTTTCAGGGAGACTGATTTTAGTAATAAAACTCCAGCTCCTGTTAGCTGGCTCTGCATTTATTAAACTCTTTCTGTATTGCAGTAATACTGTCTCAGTAGATTGGCATTATCTATGCAGCAGGCAAGAAGAACCCATAGGGCAGTTCCACTCCCACACCAAGTGAGACTCCTTTCAACATTCTCTGGATCTTATACGTATTTCTTTTCTTTCTTTCTTTCTTTCTTTTATTTATTTTTTTTTTTTGAGACGGAGTCTTGTTCTTGTAGCCAAGGTTGGAATGTAATGGAGCACTCGTAGCTCACTGCAACCTCTGCCTCCCGGGTTCAAGCAGTTCTCCTGCCTTAGCCTCCCAAGTAGCTGGGATTACAGATGCCCACCACCATGCCCAGCTTATTTTTTGTATTTTTAGTAGATAGGGTTTCACTATGTTGGCCAGGCTGGTCTTGAACTTCTGACCTCAGGTGATCCACCCACTTTGGCCTCCCAAAATGCTAGGATTACAGGCGTGAGCCACTGCATCCAGTCTCTTGTATGTATTTCCGCTTCTCATTACACTAATACACAATAATAGCTTCCCATCAATACAATGACTTTATGTTAAAGTTTTCACTATCTAGACAAAGCCATAAGTGATATCTAGAATTAAATTTGTTAACATTATATTATGGGAGGGGAGGGTTATCTACAAAATTATGTGGGATAAATTCCACTTGGTCACAGTGCATACTCCTTTTTTGTATTGATGGATCCTATTTGCTAATATTTTGTTAAGGATTTGTGCATCTGAGCTCATAAGGGACATTAGTCTGTAGTTTTCTTTTGATGTCTTTATCAGGGTAATATCGGCCTCATAGAATTAATTGGGAAATGTCCGATGCTCCATTTTCTGAAAGAGCTTGTGTAGGATTGGAATTAGTTATTTAATATTTTATAGAATTAATCAGTAAACTAAAATTATGTGGAGTAATAAAATGGTTTATTTTTAGTAAATAAGTATCTCTCAAAACCCAGAAATAAAGTTGAGTATTAAAGGCTTTTTGATAATTCAAAATTATCGTATTTAATATTAAGGGGATAAGAACAAATCTGGAGCCATCACACTACCTGATTTCAAACTATACTGTAAGGCCATAGTCACCAAAATATACAGCATGGGACTGGTATAAAAATAGGCACAAAGACCAGTGGATCAGAATAGAGAACTCAGAAATAAACCCAAATACTTAGAGCCAGCTGATCTTCAACAAAGCAAATGAGACCAGGCACGGCGGCTCACGCCTGTAATCCCAGCACTTTGGGAGGCCGAGGCGGGTGAATCATGAGGTTAAGAGATCAAGACCATCCTGGTCAACATGGTGAAACCCCGTCTCTACTAAAAATACAAAAAATTAGCTGGGCATGGTGGCGCGTGCCCGTAATCCCAGCTACTCAGGAGGCTGAGGCAGGAGAATTGCCTGAACCCAGGAAGCGGGATTGCGGTGAGCTGAGACCGTGCCATTGCACTCCAGCCAGGGTAACAAGAGCGAAACTCCCGCTCAAAAAAAAAAAAAAAACCAACAACAACAACAACAACAAAAAAAACAAAGCAAACTAAAACATAAAGTGGGGAAAGGACACCCTATTCAACAAATGGTGCTGGGATAATTGGCTAGCCACACGTAAGAGAATGAAACTGGATCCTCATCTCTCACCTTATACAAAAATCAACTCAACATGGATTAAGGGGCTGCGTGAGGTGGCTCATGCCTGTAATCCCAGCACTTTGGGAGATCGAGGCAGGCAGATCACCTGAGGTCGGGAATTTGAGACTAGCCTGGCCAATACAGTGAAACCCCGTCTCCACTAAAAATACAAAAATTAGCTGGGTGTGGTGGCACGTGTCTGTAATCCCAGCTACTCGGGAAGCTGAAGCAGGAGAATCACTTGAACCCAGGAGGTCGAGGTTGCAGTGACCCAAGATTGGGACACAGCACTCCAGCCTGGCGACAGAGTGAGACTCCATTTAAAAAAAAGAAGAAGATGGATTAAGGCCTTAATGGAGGAAAAACCTCCAATGGAAAAACCCTTCTAGACATTGGCAAGGATTTCTTGACCAGGCACCCAAAAGCAAATGCAATAAAAACAAAGATAAATATAAATAGCTGGGACCTAATTAAACAGCATGGCAAAAAGAACAGTCAGCAGAGTAAACAGACAACCCACAGAGTGGGAGAAAATCCTCACAATCTATACATCTGACAAAGGACTGATATCCAGAATCTACAACAAACTCAAATCAGTAAGAAAAAAACAATCCCATCAAAAAGTGGGCTAAGAGCATGAATAGACAAGTCTCAACAGGAGATATACAAATGGACGACGAACA